GTGGCAGATCGAGAATTTTTGCAATAATTGTGCAAAAACAATAGTTAATTGAGTAAAACAAAATTTTTTCGTGTTTCTGATGCAATTAGCTATTGCAAGATCTTGAAAATACTGGTACGCTCACATGTTCGTAACGTGAATAGTTGGTCATTTTAGTTTGCCATATAGTTGTCATTTTTCGACAAGATCATTGTATCATTTCTTAGCCCATAATCCAATACTATATTAAGAACTTATTCCTGTACAGCACTAATATTAATAATACTCAAAAGGGGAGTGTCTTCGTGCGTGAGTCGGAACTTCTGAGGGATCCAGCTAGTGAACGGTACCTTTTGAGCACGAAAATAATTGTTGCTCAGCAAAACTGTCTCAAAAAACTTGTATTTCTATGGCAACCACACGTACCGCATACACCTCATCTAGCGTACGTCTAGCGTACGTACCTAAGAAGAATTCTGAATCCACCACTCGTCGGAGCTACTTGCCTTATGATCACCTTCATGACATAATCACAACAAGTTTTTCATTCATTCTGCTGCTGATGAAATAGCACAATAGATTATTGGGACCAAGGTAAAGCAATTACACTGAAACGGGAGGGGTCGCTTATTGACGGATGGATTGCGCTGCCTTTTATTGACCGATGTTGCTACTCTTTTATGAGTTAGTTATTCTGATTTACAAAATAAAGCTTCTTTTTACTTTCAGAATATGACCATTTAATAGACCATAAAAGGCTGATATATTTATATTCGGTATAAATTTAACATTAGTTCAACCTTATGTTACGTCATAGGAAGGACCACGACCTTAAACCTAAAATTTCGCCAATATTTAGAAATTCTCAACTGTTAAGCATGAACTGGAAGTATTTTATAGAACATATTCTAAAAGAGCAATCATTTCTGTATGTTTTGACTACTATAAAGTATTTAAAATACTTTCCTTTATATTAATCATAGACTAAATTTTGAAAATTCAAGTAAAGTTCGTGCAATAAAAATGTTTATCTCAGTCAAAACGACATCTTTTTCAATTTTAAACATAGTATTCGTAATTACATTAAAACTGCATTTAGACCATTGGTGTTATGGAGCTTTGAGAAAAAAAATTCCCTACTACAAAAAATTCTGGTCTCAATTGAATAATTTTATAATGATATCTTCTCCCTATCCGCTCACTTCATTTCACGATATTTCGATGTTTGATAAAAACAGTAAAAGCGTCATTCTCATTACAACAAGCAAGTGACGTATTTAAAAACTACTTCTTTTCCTGTCTTCGAATACATTACCTTCAGCCGCCGGAAACAACAATCATTCTGGTAGTACAACTTTCTCTCGTCTAATACTCTTCCAAATAAATGTTTCAATTAATCGTATTGCTGAGACGAAGGGTGATTCGAACATCAGTTCCAGTGGAGGATGTAATAATTTCTCTATCTTTACTTAAATTGTATAAACCTGTACTCTTGAAACATCTATGATTTATTTTTCAACTTTCTTTTAAAATTGGTGTTTTGTCAAACGCATGGAGAGAGTTGTTGTATATCGTTCTTCACTCTGCACTTGAATTTGTTCGTCTCATGTTATACAAATCATATATCTGTCCTAGTAAAACTTCTTTTAACCAAGATCTTGACTTCTTGAAGTTTTTCAATAAGATTTTGGTTCAAGACCTTGATAAGAAAATGTAAGAATTCAAAAAATTTCAAGAAACCAAGATCTTGAACATCGTGTGATTTCTTGACTTCTTGTACCAAGATCTTGGAAATTCTTGAATTATCGTTTTATTTTACGCTCTTGTGTAAATATAAGTGCGAATATTTTCACACTTAGAATAACTTCAACATAGTTGTTTAAGGAAGAACCTATGAATCTATATGGTCGTATATCTGATGGCTATGGCTGTCATAAATGAAAATAAAATGCAAAGAAAATTTTTCACTCAAGATCTTGAAATTTCTATTCCCAAGACCTTGACTTCTTGATGTTTTTTCCAAGATCTTGTGACATTTCTTAACCCAAGATCTTGGGTATTAGAAGATTCACTAGGGTGACCTCTTCTCAACTGCACGTGTGCAGTTTATGATTCAGACTTTTTAACTCATCTAGACTCTATAAACGGCGTACAGCGACTTGCTGCTAGAATAATTAAGAAGAATCTTAACCATGAAATGAATAGTCGTCATCTGATCAATGAATTAGGTCTGCCTGATCTATCTCTCCGCAGAAAATACCTGTGTCTCATCTCTTTTCTCAGGATTGTCAGAATAAACATCACTCACTATTAGACTGAGTGCACTCACTAAATACAAGTCATTCTGTTCGAATGTTAATATCAGATTCATTACATTCTCTCTAGTCAAAAAGATCATCTCATCGTTTGATCATCAAAAGAGCATGAAAGCGAGCAATAGTAACAGAAATATATAATAAAAAGCATCAGTCATGTTTCAACAGTGCTTAGGAAAAATTTATTTTGACAAATGTAGCTAATGAAAAAGAAGAGAAAAGAGTAGTATACTCTAGATACGAGGAGATTAAAAAAAACACTGCAAGTAGCAGGTTTTGGAAATGGAATGTTTATAACTGCTGATCGGCTGTAGAAAATTTCGAGTTAAATAGCGTAAGATTACTTTCAAGCGTCCTCTCTAATTTTTAGAAACTTTCGTCATTAAACAACTTTTGTAACATCTATAGAAGAATGTATAACTGGGCTATTTGCATGTAAAAGACACGAACACGTATAACTTTCGTCAAATCGATATTTAGAACGAATAATGAGTGGAACTCGTCGACTCCCTTATAATAACATCCACAAACATTCCAAAACGTACAGTATTCGATTTTATGAGCGTAAAAATGATCAGACATAGTTCCAATCACACGAATAGTTCTGTTAGTCACAGGAAACGAGTACACTTTTTACTCTAAATGATGAGTTTTCTCAATAAGTGCATGATCATTCTTGTTGAGCTGTTGAAATAATCACCTGAATGACGTACAAATAGCAGGCGCCTATCATATTTCGCTTGAACATAAACAGTTAAACAGATGAAAGTGAAGAAATTGTCGAGCATATCCTACCTTTATATCACAGCTTAAATTGACTCAAAATTTTTAATCTTTTGATTATTATGTTTTAGGCACTTTCGGATCAACGGTTGGTTTTCTCAAAAAATTACTAAAGAAGTAGTTTAAAACTTTTTTTAAATGTTTTAGGGTATATCATTATTATTGGCTTAGCTTGTACTGTATACATTGAAATTTTTAATAATTGGACATTATACAATTGTTGAGAAAACAGATCATTTAGAGTAAAAAATGTACTCGTTTCCTGTGACTAACAGAACTATTCGTGTGATTGGAACTATATCTGATCATTTTTACGCTTATAAAATCGAATACTGTACGTTTTGGAATGTTTGTGGATGTTATTATAAGGGAGTCGACGAGTTCCACTCATTATTCGTTCTAAATATTGATTTGACGAGAGTTATACGTGTTTATCCGTTCGCATCACACTGATTCTGCAAGTAATGGCAACATGTAAATACCAACAGCAAATACAACGATGGAAGAAAGATTAGGTGTTATTAATTCACCAAACAAACAATGTAAGGAGACAAAAACTTTTTAGCCGAATCAAACTATCATTGAAATAATGAGAATAGAAATGATAAATCGGAAGAGAATAGTTTATCGATACAAGAAGAAAAATTCAGAAAATAAATGAAAACAATGTTTGAAAATAGTTTACATTAAACCAAGTATATTTAATATAATTGAAAAACATTTTTGTAAAATCATTTTACATAAAAATTGAGCTTTTGATACTTCACAGTATCATCATCATTAGTTTCAACTAGTATATGTAATCATCTCTCTTCTAAATTCGACAGTCATATTAGTCTGATGATGATACTGTGAAGTATCGAAAGCTCGATTTTTATGTAAAATTATTTTACAAAAATGTTTTTCAATTATATTAAATATACTTAGTTTTATAAAAAAAAAAACGTAAAAATAGTCAAAGAATGTCAATATAGTTTACATTAAAACCAAATATTCAAACTTATGTATCACTCTTCGATGATGAACTAATTACTTCCTTAGAGAATTATCTTTGAAGTAAAAAATTATCAATCGAAATATCATGTATTAGTTTCATCTATTCTTTACAACACAATATCACATATATAACAATCAGCATAAACTAGATAACAAACGAGACAGCGATAATAAAACATAAATTTCGAAAACTTGTTAGTGTTAACTGAAATATACTCATTACTCTTTACTGTATGTATGACAATGTAGTAATGTTTTTACCACTTTTGTGTCAACAGTCTGTTCATTCTATTGTATTTGTCCACTATAATAGCTTATAGTATTTTCTGATAAGAATATCCGCATCTACATGCAATAAATTATATATGGTTCTTTATCAAGAACGTATACCTTCATTACTAAAATCTAATATTGGAGCTTTTACGCTCACGCACTATTCTATTTTTGTTTTGTTCTGTTGTTTTTTTTCATTCATCCGTATGCTGAGTTTTTTTTTTCTTCGTAAAAAAAAGAAGAATTTTTGCTAGATTTTTTGTCAATTCCAAGACGAGAAAAAAACAGAAACTAGTTGACGTCAGTATAGTCTCTACTCATTTCTATACTAGGAAAATATAGAAGAATTTTTCGATAATATTAAAAAAAAATAATTTTGCATGGTTTGTATTACGACAATTGGGACGTATAGGGAAAAAAATGAAGAAAGTTCATCATTATAGTGAACGAACAATAAAAACTAGAGAAGAAGAAAAAAAAATTTGTTCTGTTCTATGAATTTTGTGAAGTAATAAATTTTTTCTTGTTTTTTTTCTTCTACTAATAGAGTTATGTGTACCTCACATACACATGCATAGGTTAGAATCCGTCACACATCAACAACGTCGTTGAATATAGTCTGTTTACTTGTTAATTATCTGTTTTCTTATAAAAATGTCTGATCTTTCATCATCCAGTCAAATATTTCTTTTACTAATATTATTATTTATTTGTGTACTTGTCATTCATTTATTAATTCGAAAACGTTTCAATTATTTGCCTGAAAGTGTTGCTGTCATCTACATTGGTGCCATATTTGGTTTTCTATTAAAATTAAGTAATCAATGGTTATCACCTACTGCTACACCATCAGCATCGACATCTCAACTTTTAAATTCAAATTTATTTTTTATGTTATTTCTTCCACCGATTATATTTGAACAAGGTTATCATTTACATAAAGGCAATTTTTTTCAAAATCTTGGGACAATAACAACATTTGCCATATTTGGAACAACAATTAATGCATTGACAACAGGAGCTGGACTTTGGCTGTTGGGTACATGGAAATTATCCTATAAATTACCTTGGCGTGAATGTTTCATTATTGGATCATTGAATTCAGGTATAATTGATTAATATCATGAAAATTTTCACATCTCACATTGTTTCTTCTTTTTTAGCAATTGATCCTGTTGCCATTTTATCTATATTTCAAGTATTGAACGTCGATCAACTACTCTATATGTTAGTTTTTGGTGAAAGTATTTTAAATGATGCTGTTGCAATTGTATTGACAAATGTTATAGTTGAATCAAAAACTCAAATAAAAAATTTATCATTCAATTCAACAACATTAAAAACAATGGCAGTTATTGGTCTATTAGCAACACCACAAACAATTACAACTTCTACAACAAATAAATTATTGTCATCTGATCTAGTCTATTCTCAAAATGTTGTTGGAAAATCACCAAAACTTGTGTTGCCCTTTGAACAAAATGAACAAAATCGTCTACCATGGAAAAATCCAGAAGACGAGAATGAGAATGAGAGTGAAGGAGACGAACAAAGAGATGGAAATGAGTATGATGAGCCAGAAACAAGAAATAAGAAATCATTAATAGGTAAGAATAAGTCTGTGACAGTTCCTCAATAATGGGAAATAACTTTTTAATTCAAGTTTATTAAAAGAAAAATTGTTATTCAGCTTCTGTTCTTGAACAAGAAATGGGCTAGTTTCTTCAAACTGCAGCTGTTTTTAAATGAGGAACTGTTGATGTTCTCCCTCTTAGTAATCTGTTAGTTGACTTGCTTTTTCAAAATGTTTGCTATATGAATACATAATAAACTAATAGAGGACTAAGAAGAAGAGCATCAACAGTTTCTCGTTTCAAAACATCTCAAGTTCGAAGCACAGATGAACCATTTTTTGTTCCTATGAATGTAGACTGTTGGACCATTTTAAAAGGGGAAATTGTCACAGGTCTCGATAAGAAAGAGTAAAACCTTTTCTATTTTTCTACAAAAAAGATAATTATGTCATGCTATATATATTTTTTGTTTTTTTCTTCATTTAAGACCATTCAAAAGTGAAACGGCAATTATTATTTAATGATTCAGGTATATTGCCACCATCATCATCATCTATTACATCAACACAACTATTGACTACAATTAAATCATTATTTCAAATATCAACAAAATTTTCTCTTATGTTTTATTTATCAAGTTTTATCGGACTAATTTTTGGTCTAATTAGCGCATTGATAACAAAATATATAAATTTTGATAAAAGTGCAATATCATTAGAAATTTCATTTATGTTTATAATATCATATAGTTCATATATGTTAGCTGAATTATTACATTTATCCGGTATTATGTCAATATTAGTTTGTGGTTTAACAATGAGTCATTATACACATCAAAATTTATCACAAAATGGAAAAAAATCAATACAAACATTATTTCGTACAATTGCATTTTTAGCTGAAACATGTGTATTTGCTTATTTAGGTTTAGGTATATTTGAATATAAACATGAATTTCATTTAAATTTAATTATATGGACAATTATTTTAACACTTGTTGGTCGTGCTGCTCATGTTTTTCCATTATCATTTATTTTAAATTGTTTTCGAACAAAACAACAACGAATAACATTACCAATGCAGTTAATCATGTGGTTTAGTGGATTAAGGGGTAAATTTTTCAAATTTATTCTCTGTAATAATATATTTTTTCATTCTATATATCATTTAGGTGCTATATCCTATGCATTATCGGTACATGTAGGAAAATATTATGGTGAAGATGAAGAAGAACTGAAACGTATTTTAGTGACAACAACATTAATTACTGTTTTATTTACAATATTAGTTTTGGGTGGTTTAACAATGCCCGTTGTTAAATGTATGAAGAAATATGCTCCACAAAATCATCAACAACAAATAAATAATAGTCATAGAGATAATGATAATGATACATCAGAGCGAACATTGATGAGTAAAACAAGATTATATGATGATATATTGAATAATGATGAAAATTATTTAAAACAACGTCGAAAACATGTTGGAATGGATAATGATGAAGATGATGAATATGAAATACAATTTATGAAACCAAATCAATTGAAAGGCATGGAAAAATTAAATGAATACTATATTAAACCATTATTAGTAAGAAAAATATCGTTAAATAATGAAACAAGAAGTTCTATTGCATTTGATAATAATAGTAATAATCATGATGATAGAAAACCATTACTAGAACAAGAAACAATAAATGAAAATAATTTTAGTGGTAATAATAATAATAATAATAGAAAAAAGAAACAACAAACTAAACTTATTAAAAAATCAAAATCAAATATATTATTAAAAAATGATCAATTTGATTCAATACCAATTAGTGATGATGATGATGATGATGCTGAAGATGATATTTTAGTTGTTCCAAATCTTCAACATGAATGTTATCAATTACGAACAATTACAGATACAACATTATCAAGACAAAATCGAACAAGTTTGAGTACATTACCACCTGATGAAGATGATAGTTGAATAAGAAAAATAGAGTATTGAAAAAGTGAATTTATCCCATAAATTATGTTTCAAATCAGTAATAAATTGTTAGTGAACAAATGGTTTCTAATAAAAGATAAAAAAACAAAAATAATAGAAAAAAATTTATCTTATACGTCATTTTGTTTCAATAGTTAACTCGTTAGTGTTATTTTTAATATTACAAGATGGTAGAATGTTTGGTACAACATTATTTTTGTTGTCATATCTACATGTTGTGAAAAATAGTCAACGATAAAATATTTTTAAACAGAAGAAGAAAAAAAAATGTATACAGTAATTTATCATTAAATAGATAAATAGAAATCTTATTCTTGAAGAGTAGTAACAACGATGGGATTTAAAACGGATGATTTTGATAATGAACAATACTGAAACGGTGGTCGAACGATTTATTCCTGTTTTATCACGTCATTTGGTCAAAATGGAAGAAAAAAACATGATTTTGATTGTACTGATGTCAATGACAGCTATAAAGAGATTATTTTTTTGTTTTAATTTTATTTTCAAAAGGTAAAAATCCATATAATCATATCAAATATTTTTTACATGTTCATGAATAGGAAAATGGTCTGATTAGACATTATCGACTGTATCAAAATAGAAAGTCTTAATCAAATGTAAAGAAATATATCTGTTTGTGACATATTCAATACGAAAAAAAAAGGAGAAAATTTACAGAAGACGTTGTATAAAACAAACTTATCTGATTCGAAATCAATAGAAGATAAGCAAGAAGAACAAAAAAAAGCAAGAAAAAAACAGGCAGAAGAGTAAAATGAACTGCGTTAACAAATGTTTAATGAAAAGATATTCAACAAAACGTTCATTGTTTCACTGTTTCAAACAAAAAAACAAAACAAATCGAAAAAGAACATGTCAATTTTTCTTATTCAAATGTCAATCTTCGCTTTTCTTGAGGTAATCGTCGTTTGTGAATTTGAGAAGATCTACAAGTGAAAGAAAATAATAAAATTTTTAATAAATATAATAGATCAATGATATCTTACCTTGGCACACAACAAAATCCTTGTTGTTTTTGAATTTCACTTGAATCACTGCTATCTACATTAGTTCCATTTTTCTTATTATCTAAACATTGTGATATTTCTCTTGATACTAAAATTGATGGTGGCGGTGGTGAAGACGAAATAAAGTTTTCTGGATATCCTTTTGACATTTCTAATTGCTCCCACATATTCACATTGGTATCTTCATTTTCAGCTAAATCACAACTAAATAAACTTGTAATATCGGCATTAGAAAGAAATTTTGATGTTCGTTTTTCTATTGCATTCAAATAACGATAAATATTCATTGTTCCATCTTTGACTTGACACATTAATAATACACCGACTTTATTTCCATCTTTTTCATACTAAAACAAAAATAAAATAAAAAATAAAACTGCCTTCTTATTATTCTAGTAAATATTTATCTACTTACAACTTGTGCACGAACAGTTCGACATTTAAGTAATTTTTGAAAATTTTCACGCATTGTATCTGAATAATTAAAACGTAGTGCTTCACTGAAATAACATTGTATAGCCTAACAATAAAATAAGATATTATTATAGATTCAAATTTAAGTTAGTTCAATATACTTTATATGGAAATTTTGTAAATTCGACAGGTAACCAACGGATTTCAGTTAATGGTACATGAATAACACGACCATAATCAACTAGATATAATGCAATAGATGATGAACGATTATTTGGTGGTAATACACGACCTCGTCGCCAACGTGATTCAAAATAAATGCCAATGATTTCATTAATTTTAACACTTTTTGGTGCAATATAATTATTTCCATAAAAACTAATATGAGATGTAAGCTGACGAAATTTTTTTTCATTTTCATTTGATAATTTATATTCTACCCAAAACTCACCCGTCTAAATGAAAAGTTAGACTAACAAAATAACGTCTATATTTTGTTTTTAAGAAATACTTTACAGGCGATAATTCATCATGTATTACACAACTAAATTTTGAGTCTAAAAATAAATAAATAAATGATACATGTTAAAAGCCTGCTTTAACTAGTCAATTCAGTCACATTAAAAACTATTAGCAAATTTTAGAATTGATCATCACTCTACAAATTCTCACTTGTGAATAGGTGGTATTCAGCAGTTATTGACCGGTTATTTAATGACTGTTTTTTTAGAGGCATTCAAGAAAATTGTTATAACAGTTATTAAGAGTCATCGCACCCGTCGAAACGTCTCGCATTTTGTAGTGAAATATTTGGTCTATCTATTGCATTCTACATAAAATTAAAGAATCAAGAGAGAAGTATTTTTTGTGATGTATCAAAGAAATACGAACAGTTATTTAACGAGTGACTAATTTTCACGTATAGTTATGGTATTGCTCATATTTGTATCATAATTAGTTTAAACATTTTTTCCTTTCAACAAATACATAGAGAAAACATCTTTCTATAAAATGAGAGATACTTAATTATAAAAAATTGTTTTTTAGATGATTAGATATCAGTTATATAACTAGTGTAGACCTATTTGTGGAAGTGTAAACTTGCAAGAATACTTACTCATATTTAATTCAATTTTTTCATTTAATGTGCAACATTCATTCAACGTTTCTATTGTAAAATTTTGAAATCCACCATTTTCACTTGATGACAATTCACTACCGCTGTCATAAATACAACTTGTAATTAATCTATCATTATTAGACGATGGTGGTAATAAATATGTTGGTCGTTGTTTATTAATCTCAGTATTATCTTTTGTTATAGTTATATTTAATTTTTCACGATTACAATTTCGTTCATCGAATGTTAATGATGATGCACGTGTATAGAATTTAGTTTTAGAATCTTTATTTATATTATTCATTTGTTCATTATAACTATGTGTAATTTTATCTTTACTCAATGATAAATGTCGACTAATCGATTGTGGTGTAATGTAATTAATTACGTTCTCATCAGCCATACGATTTTGATCTCTGATCGGTGTTTCGAAAATATTCTGTTGTTGTTGTTGTTTTATTTCGTTATCTTGACTTTTCCATGGCGTAGATAATTTAGATATTATTTTATCTTTTTCATTTGTAGTGACTATTGAACTAGATAATTTTTCTAACGATAACGACGTACTATTAATATCATCATCACCACCAGTAATACTACTGATATTTTCTTGTGCTTGTTGTTGCTGATGCTGTCTCATAGAGTCAACATTGTTTGATAATGTTATATCGCTACTATCGGGTTGTTTATTATTGATAGATTCAAATGTTTCAGAATTAAATAAACGTGGTTGTTTATTGGATTGATTATTTTTTTCTGTGCTATAATAGAAAGACGAAGAAAACAAAAAAAGAGTACAAAAGTTTTGCAACTATTTGAGAAAAAAAAAATGAGATATGATTATCGTATAAAATTCATCATTGATTTTATGGCGAAGAAAACATTTATTCACCTTTTATCCATTTCATCGGTTGATGGAATTATTGGCGGTGGTAATTCTGATAATGGTATTTCTCCCTCATTTGGTGTTGATGAACGTAAATCATTCATATGATGAAAATGATGATGATTATGGTGATGATACTGTTTTGATAGTCCATTTTTACCAATTAATTGTTTATTATTAAAATTATTCTCACAAAATTGTATTGGACTCGTTGAACGATCTTTTAAAATTTGATTTGTTTTTATTTCATTTGCTAATTGTAGAGTATCATAATTATTATTATTATTATTATTATTTTTATTTCTGTCTCGTCGAGTAAGTTCAAATGAATGATTAACGATTGATGGTACCACCAATTCATATTGTTTTATTGGAAATGTTTTACTACGATAATAACTGTATATATTTTCCAATAAATGTGATAAACAATTAAATAATTTTAATGGTTTTCGATTATGTTGTAAACATTTTTTCTCATCATAATCATCCAATTGTAGATGATAATTTTCATTATTTTCATTATCATTTGTTTCAATAAAACTTGGTATTCGATTATTTTGTTCATTAAATGTTATTGTTATACTATTCACATTTGTTAAATATGCTTTAATATGTTCAATGGAATATAGTGTTCTATAATCTTCAAATAAATCGTCAAATTCAATTTTAGTAATACCAACATTATTTTGAAAATCATCTTCATGTGATTGAAATAATATTCTTAGATTATGATAATCATCTGTTTCATAGTAGGCTATTATTGATGAATTTGAATAATAATCTTCAAATAAAATGGGCACTTTAGACCAATGCCATTTAATAAAAAATAATTCTGTTTCTGATACACTCGATTCTTCATCGTCATCATTCGATTTTCTTTTGAAATAAGCCGGTATGCCTTAGATAAAAATTAAATGATAAAAATGAATAACTATTAACAAAACAAAATATAATATTGAAATAAAGTTTTCATCTAGAGATATGGCTCTAATCTTTTTTTGCTAGTATTATCGAGAGGAATTATCTAAGAAAGAGTGAAAGAGAAAATGGCCACAGTGGAAATGCTTAAGCTTAAGAAAGTTTCAAACAGATGAATGATTAAGACTTTTATATGTATAAATTTTTACGAACTCTCTCATTAACAAAAGAAATGATTTGTTTTTCCATCTATAGTTGACAAGTTAACGGACGGGGGAATTTAAAATATCAAGGAAATAACATTCTTTCGATCCCGGTTGACAAGTTTTTAAGAAAAATCAGGTAAAAGATCTCGCTTATGAAAACTCGACTTTTTTATAGTGAAATCATTGATTAGACTACGACAAAAAATCTAATTAAACTTATGCTAAGATATATGATATTGTCTTCTGTATCAATTAGAAAAATTATTAATTAATTTTTGCGAGACATTCCAGTATTACAGTGTAACGTTTAGCAAACATGTGTATGCTAATATAAAAAAGTACATAGATTGTCAAATGATGTGGTATATTTCCTTGATGATGGCATTTTCTAGCATTTACATTTTTAGTTAGTAAATATGTTGATATTCTTTTCAAACTCTGACTACACTTGGACCAACTAGATTGCTACGTCATTGCACTATATGTACAATTTCCAAGATCTAAACCATATTTTCTGGTCATAGAGAGAAACCAAGATATATTAAATGTATTTTAATATGTATAAAATGTAATTAAATATATTTGTCCCACGTTAACATTGGTGAGACAACATGAAAACAACTATACCCATTTGAAAATTGAGGGAAAACCATATAAAAAGTTTTCATGCCACATTTCAACGAAAAATTAGCGCATCTATGCGACTATGTTTCACGTACGTCGATAAAAATCACATACCATCAGTCACTAGTTCTCATCAATGTCGAGTTAATGTGAAAAAATCTGGATGGATGCGCACCAATGTTAAAATCAATGCTTTCAATTTCAGCATCGGATCAACAGCTAAAACAATGTCCTTAAATTTTTTAAGTGAAGAAATCAGCAGGCCTTTTCGCTAGTATTGCTAGTAGAACGCGATTAACAATAGCCGGATGTTGTTTTGATACTCACTAGTACGTAACAAAATACTCTCCTCCCCCAATGTTTTACAGTTGAACAAAATCGTCAAAAGTTCGACGAACTTAATTTTCATTTTTGTACTGGAATTCATGTTTTACAAAAGATTCTTAGTTAGTCTCGGCCGATTTGGAATTATCTTCCAACACAGATGTTCTAATTTTAATTAATGTCAACTTCACTAGGTAAGCATAAATTGAAATAAATTCTTTTTTTTCGTTAATTAGAAAACTCGTGAAAATGTTTGTACATCCAAAAGTCTTACTCAGCCTGCCTATCTGAAACCTCTTCTAAGCTTACAGTTGAATTTTGGTCATTTTTTAACCATATAACCGATAAATTAGTAAAAAAAAGCTCGTAAATAATTCAATACTCAAGTTTATACCTTTCTGATTACATGATGATGAGTCAGCAGACCTATATAAGAGTTGATTTTATCATTCAATTGTAACACTTCTATCTAACAGTGGTGATCATTTCTAATAAAAAAAATTGACTATTGTTTACCTAATGTTAATTGAAATCGTTTATTCATATCTAATCTCAAAAACCAATTGATATAATAGAACATTAAACATATTGGTTTAATAATCGCAAATTCAATAATAAATACGTAGGATAATATAATTGGACAATGACGATAAAATTCATTAATATTTTTAACGAGAGATAATAAGGCTCGTGAAAATTTCGGTACTGTATAAAACCATTCTAAAAAACCTTTTGGCATACGTAATTCTTTTAATAAATTAATATCAATATCAAACGTTAAATTTGATGAATGTATTTTATAATCTTGTGATTTAATATATGTTATAATTGTTGTTGCAATATCTTTACTTTCTAAAAAACGATAGAGTGCATTTTCTAAATTAATATTTGTTTTTAATTGTCTACGATCAAAATAAGAACATATTTGACAATGACAACTATCCGATAGAACTTTAACAAAATCTGGACGTCGAGTTTTTGGTATAATTATTGATTTTCGATTAATTGATTCGGATTGTGTTGTTGGTACTGTCAGTGATAATTCTGTACGATTTTTTGCTGGAGATGATAGTGGTGTAAATTGTTTGAATAAGGGACTACTGGAGTTTGAATGATAGGATAATGGTGGTGTTGGAGGCAATGAAGGAGATCGAACGTAGCTTTCACGAGGTTGTCTAATAATTTGAGGAGAAAATGAAACACGTTTTTCTTGCAGTTTTGGTATTGGATCTGTAAATACATCGTCATTTGGATCATGATTTTGTATTTGATTTGTATCACTAAAATTTGAATTAGAAGCAACTAGAGAAGATGATGGTGTTAACATTTCTAATATTTTATTCTGTCGATTATTATTAATATTGTTGGTTAGTATGTTTTTTTTCAATATAGGTTCGATACTTTTTGTTAAACGTTCGAAATAGTCCTCTGTATTATTATTAGTGTTTTTAATTGCTGAACTAGAAGCAAGAAACGATGACAATGATGATTCAGGCGATAAACTTGAATCAGTCAATGTTCTAACAGACAATTTATCTTCATCATCCGTTGATAATAGAGTGGAAGCTTGTTGTACATTATTATCATCAATATCAAATAAATAACTTGAATTTTTACAATTACTATTAATATTGTCATTATTAAAATTTGAAAATAAAATATTTTGTTCAATCGAAGGACAGACTCTAAATACAGAAAATAAAAGTAAATATTAATTAATTATTTTCAATTGATATTCTAGAATCATGCTTTAATCAATTTTCAAAAATGATTAAATGAGCAATTAAATCTTCTATTTTTAAAACTAAAATTTTATCTATGTTTTTCATCTAATTGTAAACGAAATTAGATTTAATTATAAGTTAGAAGCTCGTTTAATGATTAGTTATAATTGCTTTTCGACTTGAACATGCACTGATTTTGTTTCGTTAAATATAAACAGTTACCAGTTTATAAATGAGTTCAAGGAATGTTTTTCTCTCTTTAGTCTGTATTCAAAAACCACTAAAAATCAGAGCACAATACCTGACGTTTTCTTGTAGGCTTGCTTGCTGATCACAATTACTAACTTCATCAATTAGAAGATTTTTGACAATTTTTTGACATTCATCTTCTTGATCTGTCTGTATGTCATCTATCGTTGTTTTAGGAGAATGAAAACTAGTTTGTTGATTGTCTTGTTTGTTTGATGAAATTAACTGATTTTCTTGCATTATTGTTTGAATCCATCCATCGCTATTTTCAAATTGATCAATAGCATCAAATGATGTTGATTGAGATATTCGACTTGATGTACTAATTGTTCGTTTTCGATGTATTGGTAAAAACGATGTTTTTGCTGTTTTATCAGTTGATTGAGAATCATTATTATTACATTGATCATTCTCTTTAACCGGCATACTTGTCAGAAGATTAATATCTTGATCTTGTATGATAGTTGTTGTCGAAACTGAATAATAATTTGATTCGGATGAAGAAGAAGCCGATGAAAATGACGAATTTTGGAACTCATTGTTGACTGATTTTAGATTTTCATAGCTGGTAATTAAAGATGTTGGTAAAATAATCGGCGTCGTTAATTTTCGACTAAATTTAGGCATTATAATATCGTAATTGGAACAAATGCCCTTTACATCAGACATGCATTTAAGAAAAAAGCACATGCAATCAATGTTTTTCATCATGCAAAATAATCAAAACAAAAATCTAAACGTCATTAGACACATACCTTCTGTCCGATATTTGTACTTTGGATGCATGCTGAGTACCAAATGGACGTGGCTCATAAGATCTTGATCTTTCATCATTTTTTGGTAGTGGATGCGATGAACGTCTCGCACGATCAGTACTGTAATTACGAATATTTTCATTTAAATTTGAACGAATATTAACATCTCTTTGTCTTGTAGATGAAAACGATGTTGTTGTCGGTGGCGTTATTGGAGTTACTGGTTCATCTACAATGTATTCCTGTTCATCTTTCTTTTCTTCTATTGCTAATTCCGAACGATAAGAGTTCCAATGGGATAATATGCTTTTGTAAACTTGTTCAAATAGATGGGTCACATTTCGATCTTGCGGTAACTGTGGTCGCGTTGGATACCATACAGGCAAGTAAACTGCAATCGATATATCGGAATTTTCATTCATTGGTAGAATATGTGGTATAAATGCATTATTCTGGATATCATCACTACTCAAAACTTCACTAGTTTGTTCCATTTTCTCTTCAATTTCTTTTCTAAAGGAAAAAAAATAGTTTGTTGATCCAAGATAATAAACCATCATTAAACTGTCTTGTATACGCTCAAACGTATCTTGATCGGATTGTTACCACTATCAATTCTATCACATTCCGTTCGATAGTTAGTCCTGAATAATACACAAAAGAGCTGTCTTTCATCAGTAGATTCATCAGCAGATGATGTTGTTCATCGAATGCTATTAGTCTTGTAGAGGTACAGGTTTTTCAAACACAATAGAAAAAATTAATGATTAACTCGATTTACTCAAAAAATCTCACGTCACTCGGTGTTATAAAAAATATTATCCAAGATGAAAAAGAAAAAGCTTATGAGTAGAAGAAGCAATTCAAGTCAGGAACAGAGTGAACGCCAGAAATTATCTAAAATCTCTCTACTAATGGAGTTACATAGTGCGTCCGCTTAAGTCGAATATGACTGGTCGCTTACTTAATGGCGCCAGATTACCACAATCTCTTTTGAAACATTTTCGTTATAGAACACGAACGTGAAAAGAAGTTTTATCACCTTATATGTATTCTTCCTCAATAGATATTATGAAGTCTAACGAATACCTAGAAGAAAATAGTTTTTATCATCGTATCACTTTTAACAGAAGCGCTATATTCTATCAGTGAGAGAAAACATGGATTGTGGCGGCGTAGATATGATAGATAAATTTTAGTTTCAAAAACAATTTTACTCTGCGCTAGTCAATAGATGATTGATTCTATATTCCATTAAGAAATGCTCAAACGAATTATCTCATGTACATCTTATTGACAGTATTATCAAAGTCTAATTTATTATCTTTCTTTGTTGAGATACAAAACTGTTTCAGAACGTTTAACAAATGAAAGAGTATGAGAGTAAATAATAATAAAATGTCAAAAATAGAAAAAAAAGAAACTATCTATAGAAACATGTTATGAATAGCAACAAAAATAAATTTTGAAACGCACACACATACAATAACAGTTAATTGTAGAAATATATCGAGAGTAAAACAAGAATAGAAAAAAAAATCTTTGAGAATAGATCTCTAATAAAAAACAACAACAAGTGGAAAAAAAATATTAGATATTATTTAAAAACAAGAGTAAATCAGATCTTGATCAATCAAATATTTGTTTATGGTCTATTCATGTTTTAAACGTTTATCGCTCTCAGCAGTATTATCAATTGATAAACGTTTTCGACGAATTTGTGAAGTGGATGTAAGTTCATGTAATGATAATGGTGTGGTTATTGTTGCCATATTGATCGGTGGTCCTTTGAGAATTTGATCAAAGATATATTTTAGAGATTTAAACTCAAGTGTTTTCCAATCAATATTATATTTTTCCAATTCTATTTGAACATCAGATGAGATAGTTAAAGGTGAACCGGGTAATGAAGATGTCGATGATATTGAATTTGATGAACGAGTATTGAATATATATGTTGCTTCTCTGATATCTTTTAAATCGAGAACTTGACCACCACCAGCAATTATTATTAAACCATAAGGAATTGAATGATCAGTATTACACAAAAAACATACTTTCCATCCAGAAAATATTGTTTGTTTTATTTCATGATTTGTATATAAACGCCACTGTTTTGAAATTTTAATTAATAATTCATGTTCTTTTGTGTACTGTTGATGTTGTTGTAGTTGATGTTGATGTTCAACAATATAATTGGCCCACTCATAATTTTCTTCATCAACTAGACTATTTTGACGTTCACATTCATAAATGTAACTTGGATGTAATATCCATTTACCAGCAGCTGAAATATAGTCAAATTTTCACATATTTTTGTTATAAAAACAATCTTTAGTATAAAAAATAACAACAAACACTTACCTATAAATGCTAATAGTTTTTCTGTTTTTGTGAATGTACCCGTTATCAAATGTGTATAATTATGTTTATATGAATTTGATTCTTCAACTAAACAAGACTTAAAGTTTGATAGTACTTCAATTGTTTTTAATTTAGTACGCTCTGACAACGAACTGATAAGAAATATTTTTTGTTCAGATTCACTAATATCACTAAAATCATCATCATTTTCCATCATTTGAGTCCATTCATCATTTTTTAATAATTCTTTTATTCGTCGACGTTCAGCTAGTGTATGATCATCTAACCATTCGACAGTTACTGTAGGTGAGACAAGCTGTGGTTGTGCGAATGTTTGTGGAATTGATATTTCTTTTTTAATATTAAATGTAGAAATTTTTTTGTTAAAAATATGACGTGAATTTGTTGCTACTGGAACAACGTAGACTGGTGATACTGAGACGGTTGAAGAAGAAGAGGATGACTTTTTCTGTAATATTTCCATTTCATAATCGATATCCGTCATGAGTTGATCAACCATAATTTGTGATTCTGTTGGTGGTAATAGTTCACTAAGCTTATCTAATTGTGTATCTGTTATTGGTGGTGGAGAAAATTTTTCTTCTTTCGCAGGTACAAACTAAATAGAATCAATAAATAATGACAAATACTTCCTTCTAAAAACATTATGAGTGTAGGCTTGAGTTTTTCGATCTTCAGAAAAAAAATGCAAAAATTCGAAAGAAGAAAGAAACAAAAAAGACTTTTGGAATATACCCAGGAACAGATTGAACATTTTCCTATTAATGAGAGGTCGCAGAACTTTGAGCGTTCTTTTATTCAATTTTTTTGTATCTGTTTCAATAAAGTCTAACATCGAACATGGATTCGGACTCGATTAGCAGTTTGACCGAATGAGTACAGAATGACAAGCAAAAACCATACAGAACTGGCTAACATTTTATTTTGTAGAGAAACACATGTATTCTATATTTCTAGTAACTCAAACAAAGTCTATTTAGTCAAACTTTAGAGATTTACGACAAAGTTTGAAAAAGGTATAGAATAGTCACTCGTACTTCTGTCCTTTTTCTTTGTTGTTAACTTACTTCATCAACTGTTTGAGACGTACGATTATTATTTTCTGTTTGTTGTTGTAAATACCGTTTTAGTCGGTCATTATTTTCCTTTGCTAATTGATTATATTTTTCGGTAATCACATTTGCTAAAAACAGACATAAAAATGAAAAGAATGAGATGAATTCTCTTGTTTTTGTCTCAGATAGAGAAGTTTTGTTCATGTTATTTTTCACGTAATATGTCTATTTACCAGTAGAGTTACATTATCATTATCTTTTCAAAACCATTAATACATTGCTGTGTATAACAATGGGTAAAATGAATGTTTTCTTTTCCGTATGTTTATTTTTCACCAAATATTTAGTCTTTTTCCTTTCGTGGTATGATCAATAGAAAAAACGTTGTTAAACAACTAATTAAGAAAAAAAATAACTAATAAGTTTCCTGAAAGATTATGTAAATATACTATGAATAAAACACATATTAAGAGATGAAGACTTTCAGAAAACTTATTAGTTATTTTTTCTTAATCAGTTGTTTAACAACGTTGTTTCTATTTGATGAAAAATAAACATACGGAGAAGAAAATATTCATTTTACTATTTAAATTTATATTCTGTTAGAACACAGATCTAACATAAATTAAAACAATGAAGTAAATAGTATAACACTTTACTTATAAAAATTGTTAGACTTACAATCAAAATTAGAATGATCATTTTCTGATGAACGTTTTCGATATAATATTGATTCTAATAACCAATTAATACTAATAATTTTCACAGTTTTCCATTTGAGTGCATGTTGATACTTTTTTCCATCAGCAGTTTTTGTTATTAAATGTGTTGTTGCTACTTTTCCATCTGGAGTATTATAACGATTTAATGTTTCACTATAATCTCCGCCAAAATATTTACATAGATTGACAATTGCTTGTCTATGTGAACCAAGATAGCCACTAATGGTAATACAGCAATCATTTAACATTGTTCGATTATCATCATCATCATCCGATGATAACATGAAAGGTTTATAAAATGGACATGAATTTAAGTCAATAATTGTTTGACATTTATCACAATCTTGTAGCCAATAAAATGTGACAAATTCAATATCATTTTGTTTAATGTTTAATTGACGTTCATTTGGATGCAATAATACGGGTACAATCATTAAGATTTGTTTCTTGACTGCTAATGTTGTCGTTGGTGAAAACGAATTATATTCATCTGTTATTTTTTTAATATTTTTATATTGTTGACTATTTTGATCAAATAAAGTCGATATTGAGAATATATAATTTTCAAAAAAATTTTTTTTCTTTTCTTCTATTGATTTTTGTTTATTATTACTTGTAGTCATTCTCATTTTTCTATTGCTATTAATGTCTGGTGTTTCATCGATTATCATTGTTGCTCTTATTCTCGACGGTGTATCACAATCATTTATCGAAATTAATTTATGTGTATCAAAAAATTTATCTTGACTCGTTGTAAATTGAGAAAAATTAGTAAATAATTTTTCTCGTGTTTTACTTTGTTCATTATCATCATTATGATTATTATTATATGAACAATATTGAATATTATCTTGAAATCGAACAAGTTGTGGTTTTTTTAGTTGACGTTTTTGTTTCGAAATAGGTTGTTGTACTTTTTGTTGTTCATCGATATTGGTTTCAACCTTGTAATTTGTTTCAGGTTTTATACACTGTTCTTCTAGTCTAGTATTTTCTTCATTAACACATACATTTTGAGAGTTTATTCTTGATGATCGACGACGGACAAGAGTGGATGTAGTCTTTGTACGAGATGTCTAAACAACAACATGACTACAAGTGATTGAAAAAAGAGAAAAAATAGCGATTATATTTATGCGAAACAAACACTCCATCTAAGTCAATTATAGTTCTGCAATAACTGACTACTTTTGGCTAGTGAATATTTTAAGATAAATTCACTTTCTTTCTGGTGAAAAATAAACATACAGAGAAAATATTCATTTTACTATTTAAATTTATATTCTGTTAGAATATGAAGACGGTTACATACTAGACGGTTGTATTTTCGTTTAGTTAACTACTTCAACAATTACTCTTTTTTAAGGTCTTCTAATCTCATCAGTCTTTCTACCACCAGAGCATCTCTGCGTCACGATCCCTTCATCTAATCTGCGTATCTTTAAAGTTGGTTTGCGTAGTCTTTTACAATGTTAGCATTTAGTGTCATCTCAACGTTCTGTATATGAACGCTAACCCCATTTCAAATTTTTAGTTGTTTTCTTTTTTTCTGTTTTTTCTTTTATTTTTAGTATGTTATATGGATGCACGGCAGAATATGTTACTAATCTTTTAGTCATTTCTGTATTAGCTGTGTTTACTTGAATTGCTTGTATCAAATTGTGCTACTATGTACTCAAGACTGTTTGTCAAATAAACTAACTAACTAACTTTACTTTGGAAGAGATTATCTTTGCTAATGATTGTTCATCTTGTTCTCTTGATTGAGTTTCTGCGTCATTCTCAAGCGGCTGAAGTATATTAGCTGAAGTCGTTGATTGTTGTTCTTCTGCCGATGTATTCATCAACTGTGAACTATATGTATTACTCGACTTTCGTCGGTTTAATTTTACTATGATTTTTTTTTGTTTTTGAATTGGCTGTTGATCTGGTTCTGCTGATATTTTTTCGTCATTCATTGATTGCGAAATCTGAATTTCTGATAACGATGGGCTTTGTGGTTCAGTGTGAAATAATGATGTATGCTCTTTTGAAGTTGGTCGGTTGTAATGTTTTAATAATGATTGTGGTGAAAGTGTATATTCAGTCAATAGATGTGGTATAATCGATCCTGCTGATGATGATTTCGTCTTTTGCGATGATAGACGAGCCGATATCGATGTATCCTATTAAGAAGAACGTACAAGAGGGTTATTCAGTTATCGAAGATAAAAATATCATTATACGTACAAGAAACGACTGTTCAACATTAAAATTTGACAAAGGACGATTTATTTCCGGTGTTGTTGATACATCAGATATTTTTTGTTTATTTATCTTTTGATTTTGTTCAAAACTAAAAAGAAAATATTTACATTAAATTTCCCGATCAAAGTGGAGTGACATCATTCATTAACGTCTATCTCTTCAACTGATTACTGCAAAAGTTGATGATGAACCAAGAAACCATGTGAATTTAAAATGTTTAATATCAAATGTTCCAGAGGCGTACCTAGCATCTCAGAGCACGGAGGTGATCCTACTCAAAAAATCTATTCGTTCTTCTAAAAGATGTTTTTTTGGAAGAACGAAAGAAAACCGTCTTTGAAACAGGTTCAAGCGCAAAGTTTTAGGGACAATAACGCCAGTGAGACGCGCAAGTGACTGCAATTTTTTCCCTTGCTCATGGACCTTTTGCGTGTGTCCTTCACCATAAGCCCACATGAAAATTATATCTGACGATACAAAACAGAAACTTTTTTGACACCAAGGGGTTGGTAACCACTCTCACTATCCCCAGTAAGTACGCCACTTGAATGTTCGCACAAGTCTACAATTATTTTCTCGCTAGTAGTTTTATTGACATTCTTCTGTATAAAAAAAGTGCTCTTACATATTTTTGATATGAAGAATATAATCAATTTCTGGAACAAGTGTCCCTTTTTCACAACATTGTAGCAACCATTCTGGATTCACAATATGACAACTAAAAAAAACAGATTATATATTATTTAATCAATCAATTATGAGAATGTTCTGATATTGTTACTCACTCGGGTGCGATAGTCGATACATTAACGTAATCAGAATAAGATTCAGAACCATATATGATATGCGTTGTTGATGAATTGAATGAATCGAATCTATTTTGAAAAAAATGCAGGCATAGTTGCTAATCTTTCCTATAAACTAATTTGGACGAGTAATTTATTCGAAAAACAGTAAAAAAATACCTTTTCTATCGAAAACAGGCATGAAACATTATTTATCAATTATAATCTTGTGTTTTTATCAAAAACATTTTTGCTACGTAAAATAATTCTTTCGATCTTTTTAATAACTAGGTCTTGTGGAGCAATGCTTCCTAAACACTATCCTTGGTACTGATACCGGTTTGGGCTTTTTCTCATGAGAGAAACGGTTGCAGCAAACAAGAAAAATTTCATTCTATGGAAAAATGTTCGCTCTACAAAATGAAGTTGTCAAAAAACTTAAATATATTGTACATTGTAATTAATTTATTAATTGAGAAGAAGAAAATATATCTATAAATATCGGTGCATATCTAATCGATATCGATGAAACTGACAAACTAGAAGTTCAAAATACTTCTATATGAAATTGTTTTTTGAATGTACAACATTGTTCACTCTTTTATGCTCTTTGAGATTAACTAAATAAGTTCGTCGTTTACGCTTTTTTACCTAACAGCACAGCCAGTATCGAGAATTTTTCGTATTTTCATTATGAATGCTGTTGGAAATTGTCCAATAAAAATCTAAAAAGACAATGTTAATTTGAATTTAGCTAACCAAAAGTATGCATCTCATACTACCTTCAAACCGTCGAATAAATCATGAATTTTTGTATAATCAATTTTCTCAAAACGTCGTTGAAAGTCGGTTATTTGCTCGGATGTTAATAATGATTTTCGTCGATTATCAATAGTCGATATTGTTCTCATACTTGATGACAACGAAATTGATGTTGATGGTGATGGTGTTGATACTGTTGTATCGATGACTTGATCATCAAGCGGCTTTGCATTTTCTGTAATAGAATTTAATTTTGATTCAATAATTTGTTATCTCTCTCTTGTACCAACCTTTTCCATCTGTTTGTTTATTTGCTTCCTTGTTATTATTTTCCCATAAATATTTATCGTGACGTAAACAGTAACCCATTTCACTACTGTCAAATATCCAGTCGGACTTCAACGCAAAAATATTCCATTTTACCGCATGTTCATATTTTTCACCTAGAAAAACCGAGACATATATCATATTCATAGTGTTTTTAATTTCTTCTACCTTTTGGTTCTCGACAAACAAGATGTGTACAAACATCACGATCTAAATCTGGACAATATGTTGCACCTGTAAATACAACAAAGCAAAAAATACAAACTATGACGATAGGTGGACTTATTATGAGAAATCATTAGACAATTTCTTTCTGATCGAAATGGACAGTGAAATTAGTATATGAAACAAGAAAAGGAATTTCAGCTTAGGATCTATAAATTGTATGCTGTTTGAATGACTATACTACTCTCGGCAAGGAATTCTTAAACACCTTCTTTTTCTAAATATTGTTTGAGTATATCTCGATTTTGAGTTGTAAAGCCAGATAAACACACATGAAATTTGTAAAATATCGGACATTTAAATCGATCGAATACAGAATCAGTGGCTTTGACTGACCTTGAATTTAAAAAAACATGTAGTTCTTAAGAGGTAAGCGATAAAACTTCAATTGAAGAGTTAAAAAGCTATCAATACTGAGTGAACATGTTCATCTAAATTATGTATGAACTACAGTTTCATAAAGGGAAGGTTTTCACAAAAGAAGTAAAAGAAACAGATAGAATATGTTTACTTTTGACCGGACAACAAGAAAACATTGTCAATCCATTCTGGTAACATCACTGATACATTGTGTTCAACAGCCACCTTAAGTAAATAAAATGAACCATAAGATATACTTATCGGAAATATAAAAAAACTTACAAAATATTTTTCAGAACCACTTTCTCCACAAACAAGATGTGTTACATTGGAATCGAGATTTGTTTGAAATTTTCCACCCATATAAGCAACATGCCGTCTGATTGTTTCCTATAAAAAAGCAACATATTACATTTCTACTCGATAGTGAGCATAAATTAAACTCTTACTCGTTGAGATTGTTCGATATTTGTACAACATATAACAATTGATTTCATTGCTAATGAATATAACGGATAGGAAGAAAATGGCAGTGTAGTATTTTGATCTATACATGTCGAAATAAGTTGTGCACCCAATATCCTGAAATGAGGAACAAAATATTGTCCAGGTTGAAGTTCTGACGATTCTACTTACCATGCTTTATGTGTTTTCAAATGTTGGAATAACTGGCCACTAAATGGTTCAAGAATGAACATTTTTCGTTGAACATCAGTCATTTCTAAACACGTTTTTTCATCAACCATATTTGGTTTCAAATTACCATTTTCCAACATCTGAACATAAAACGCCAGTAAAGTTTAAGTATTCTTTATTTGTTGGATTTTTGCCTACTTGAAATACTTCGTATAATTTATCTACTTGCCAATGAGCATGTTCTGGCCCCGGTTGTAAAACGTATATGGACGCAGAACTGGCGTTTGTTGATGTACTGTTTTCAACCATCTGAAATAAATTCTGAAGAATTATATTAAACAATCCGCTAATTCATGTGAAGAAAAACAACAACAAACACTTTGCGTAAATGGGAATCGATATGACTCTATGCGTTCTATATACAATTGACGATTTTCTAAGTAAGTTGATAAGATTAGAGTCGCTAACTCAGAAGGTTGAGAAGTTAGTGGAAAAACTCTAAAAATCACAAATTAAAAAACTAAAATGTCAAAAATCAGAAGACGTTTTTTTGCCCAAAACCCAGAAGAAACTAACAGCATAATTTTTTGTTCATCAGATCTTGACGTTTCTCAGTTTTAACATGTTTATCTAAATCATTTTTTCCACAATACGAACGAAAATGTCGGTGTTGTAAGCATGAACATCTTACTTTAGTCTCATTATGACTAGCTAACTACTAGAAAAATTCTGAATATTTTGGATCACTCAATCAGTCTTTGTTAAAAACGCATTTTTTTGTGTTTTCGTCCAATTTTAATTACTTTGTTTTCAAGTAAACCTAATAGAGCTTTATCAAATCATCATCTGACTGTGTCATCAGTTTAAGAAACAATCTAATCTAAAAAATGTTAACAAGTAGGATTAATCGGAATCCCACTAAAAACGCTTGTTAAGCAACCTCGCAAGCGAGGAACATATTGGTTTTATACTAGCAGTGCGTATCCCAGTTTTTTGTCCTAAAAACACGCTATTTTTAGCTAAAAAAAACAACTTTCCCAATTTTCAGAAAAAGAAAAGCAGGAAATCGTCACTTTCATTTTGTGACTCATCATTCACAGTCCATTCATTAAGATATTATCGTCATGGTTAAAATCGAGCATATCCAATCAAACTAGTAACTCGTATAATGTAGAAATGTGTGTGTTACATCAGCTTTTCTTCCAGAAATCATCTCCAGTACAAATACAAAAAAGCTAAAAATCAGAAATGATTAGAAATATCCTTCAAAATCAGAAAAATTCTTATGAATCAGAAGAGCTGACAAGATGCATATAACAGCTACTTAATTTATGCTTTTTCTTAAAATTTCAATTGTTTCAAATGTTACGGAGATCGATACCACACCCTTTTCGATACTCATGCTCTTTCTCAGAACAAAAAAACAGAAAAAAGGGAGTTTTCTTTTAAAAGAGACTCTAGTTTCTAGATTGATGTTCATCATCTACTTCCTATTATGTATCATGAAGTATAAATAGATAATATATTCACAAATATTCACTTTTTGTGAATAAATTCATTCATTCATTCATAGATCTTTGCACTTTTGATACCAGTATTCAGCATGGTAAGTTAAAATTATAAATTAATTGTCTTCTCAATCAAGGGCAGATTGACTAATCTAAGATGCAATTATTGTGAAAACAAGTCTAATAAACGAGTCTAAAGGGAAGAAAGTCTCGAAAAAACAGTGACATAAACCGCTCTCGCTTTCTCTCTATGTTCTGTTCTGCTTTCTTTCCACTTCTGTAGCGACGTTCTCATTTGTAGCTTTTAACATCAAGCAAAACGATTAATGTTCTGATTAAATTGTGAATGCACTTCTTACATTTGATTCAAAGAAAATGCGATTTCTTTTTTCTGAGTGAATTCTTTTTGCGTCTGTAAAGAAATTCTCTTTTCTTTATGTTAATTTTCATATTCATTCACTTATTATTTTTTGATGTTATAGGTGAACTTTTCTATTCTATAAAAAGGTTTCGCTTCTCAACGCTTTATTATCATACAGAAACATGGCTGCCAGAACAAAATCGTCTACTACTGGTAAAACAGCGAGTCTTCAGAAAACTAAGCCGAATGAAAAAAACAATCGAAATCAAGACTCAAATAATAAATCGGATAATGCTTATCCCATGCAGACATACGATTTCAATAATTTCAAACAGAATTTTCATCAACTGTTTGAACTTGTAAGGAAAGATGGTGTCGTTTTCGAATGTGATGCAGAAGCGCCTTCACGTAAGTGAATGTAAAATTTCCTTTGAGGTTTATATTTTAAAAGGTAGAGTATGAATCAACCGAAGTGATTCGGAAATCTCCTCTTCTTGCTTGGCAACCCACTTTTAAAGTTGAAAAAAGCCCAAAAATTCTAGTATGACAGCTATAGTCAAGTACATTTTTTAATGAGATAGAATATCAGAAATTATCTCAATCGATTTTCACATTTTCGACTTATTCAAGTGACTGAATCCTGCAATCGGATTCTACCTGATCTTATAAGTTTCGGTGTACGAAAGGAAGAAACAGTATTATAGGCGAATTCTCTAGCCCGAATGACTTTTAAAAACAAGATTCACAAGTCCACACTCCATTGTTCCTAAGAAAAATGTACCCTGGTTTATCGAAATCACCTTTTAAGAAAAACATGAAATAGTTATAACTTTTATTAACTTTTCTCACAAGTTCACAAGCACAAGTTCTGCTTGTGTCACTATATGAAACTAATTACTTAAATATAACTGGCATTTTCTGTTTTCAGCCTCAAAAGATTATGGCCAGTTGCAAATTACCACGGATAAGGTACGATCATGAATTAATATTCCTGTTAGGATTATTTAACATGATCTTTGTTGACTTTTTTCCAAAATATAGTTTTTTATGTTAAACTTAGGTGATTTTACGTTGGTGGAAAATAACGTTACGAAATATTGAAGGTAAGAATAACTCATACGATGAAATTATTATGATTCTCTCTTTTTACATTAAAGGTGCAATGTATCCTGGTGAAATAAAAGATTCTTATGAAGATTTTTATCATGATGAAATTGCACAAAGAGAAATATTGCGTATATTCGGTAAAGTAATATTAGACTACTGTTTAAAACTCGTCACAGGCCAAATTGATTGGATCAACAGAATACCAGAAGAAATAAAAATTCGTATTCTATCATTTGTTAATCTTGAAGATATACCACAAATTTCACTTGTATCAAAATCATTTCGTGTATTATGTCGTAACAATGATTTATGGAAAGCATTTTACATTCGTTATTATGATCAACAAAGCATTTCGCGTAATTTAATCAGTTTAGCAGAAAAACGAGGTTGGAGACATGTTTTTTTCACGAATCGTCTTAAGTTACAAATGCAAATAAGACGAGAATCACAACGTTTACCAATGGCTATTCAAGATGATACAACACAATTAGAACGACGTCGAACATCAACAAATACTCGTAAACAATCATCGAATAGTTTGATGAAATTGAATGTTGAACAACAGCCAAGCCCTCCACCACCACGTGATTACATCAATCCATCTATTCGACGTCATTCATTTACAATAAAAAAAGAAGGAAATATTTCTCAACGGGACAGTTTCGAAGAATCAATAACATCGCCAAGGTCAACTCGATCTTCGCACTTTGCTGGTGCAGATGATGATTATTATCGAATGTCACCGATGAGAAATCAGACACCTTCGCCTACTCTCTCAACAAGATCAATGGCTGGAAGTGTGGCATCGAGAGGATCGCAATTAGAACCAGTACATCCGAAACAAGAGCGAACGAAACGATAAATGAAATACAGTTTTTTTTGAACGTAACGCACTGTCCTTATTTTCGTTTTCATACTATTTATTGCTCAATTGTGTATCCAATCAATTATTCAACAAAACTTTTTAACCACTTTCTTTACTTTTTTTTTATGCAATTTGTGCAAGTATTTATTTATAACAACTATTTTTGTACATATAAGTCAAGTGATCTTAGTAAAGATTGGATTATAAATTTTTGCTGTAAGGAAATTTTTATCCAAAATTTGTTGTATTCAAAGCATATTATCTCAAAACTAAACAGTTCTCTCTAACTGTGCTGCAAAAGTGCCAACTAAGTTTTCCTTAGAACTTTTATGAGCACGCAAAATATCACTCTCTATTTATCAATGTTGCTGGAATGTCTGGATTTCACGAGGAAAAACACAGCAATACAAGCGATATGTTTTCTCCGAATTATATCATTTCAAAGGATAAAAGGCGACTATCTAATAAGTTATGCTGATAGTATTTTATTCTGTATGTTATTTAATCTAACGTAGATTAAACCATTACACTATCAGCTGATGCGTCGGATATTGTTCTCCTGAACTGTGGTCTTTGTCTTTGTATTCTGTCTATTACAGGTGAATCATTATTGGAAGACACTGATGTGAGACGCTTTGCCAGTTGACGTTGATATTGATTTGGCATCATTATAAATTGTTGTTGTTGAAGTTTTCGTTCGTATTCACGTTGTTGATTTAATTTTTGTTCCTGTTGAATGATCTGTTGTGTTTCAACAATATCGGCGATATAAAAATTTATTTTTGAGAGATATGTATGTACGAGAAGATGACATGCTAATATTAATGACGTGCACAAATAGCCGACTAAACCATAAAGTATAAGATAAAAATCTCTGCCAATTTCACATTCATATGGTTGAATTAGAATAGTTTTCATTAGAAAACGGTTATCTTTTAAAAATAATTCTGTGGATGTATTCATGACACGGACAATAAATACTAGAATAGCTAAGATAATAAGTGAAAGTGAAAGAATGATAAGAATGAAAACATATGAATTGATCTTTATGTAATTTGAACAACTATTTGCATTTAGAATTAATATTAACAATATTGCTAAATTTATAGAAGAAATTGCAATAATAAACAAATTAAAAATTGTTTTAATAATATTTTCTTTCGTTCCTAATTGACATTGTAAATGATGATGGGATGTTAAGAAACAATTGACACTATTATGTCGAATTGCAAATTGTACAAATAACGTCAAATTGCTATTACCATTTTGAGTTATTGTATGTTTACATTGATAATGATTTAAACCTGTTAAACTAATGCAAAACAAAATAGTTGATATACAAAATAGAAATAGATAAATGCTTGAAAACCAGTTAATAAAATGACATTTTAAATTTTTATTCGTATTCATTAACATATTTCTTCTTCGGTAAAACTAATGAAATATTTTTGTGTTTTTATTGAAATAAATGCACCCTAATCATTTTTTATTTAGAGACGGTAAACAACTAGATGAATGATATTTATCGATACGCATCGAAGAAAAAATAAACTGGTTAAGTCATGGATTAACATAGGTAAAATAAGAGATTAATCATTCATGAAAACGGACAATTATGGTTGGCAAAGAAATAACAGACCGATATGTTTTCATAAATTACTCGAGCAGTATCTTACCATTGTTGAAGGGAATTAATACAAGATAACCTTTTTTTAGTGTGTTAGTTAAGTGTATGATAGTATAACAGAGGTATGGCAGAAAATTAAATTCAGAAAGTAGGTCATAAGGAAACATTATTAGGATATTTTGCACTTCCGCTTGCGAGCATTTACCACTCATTGTTATTCCATCAAATTTTGTTTATCATGCATCTATCTTAAAAATGGAATCCATAATAACTTTCTTGTAGTAGACAGACTGGATTAAGCATTGACGAACACTTTTGAGTATTTATATTGTTCTTTGTTCAGAATTTTTGAAATACACAGATCATCTCAGCTACGTACTAAGAAGACTTTTATAAACCAGTTCGAGAACTTTATAAAACGTACGAAGTCTCAGCTCTATTTTATGAATTTTAAAAACAGATGTTCGTATGTATCTTCATCGCAAATTATTACACATAAATAGGTTAAAAATGTTTATATGTAATATAAATCTCCACTATACAGAGAACAGTAGACAAAAGTAAAAAATAGAACTGGATGGCCAATCACCCTGTGCGAAGATTGAAAAGTCGGTAGAGTGAAACGTTGCACGACACTTTAGAGATTGAAACTATTTTCGTGGTTTTAACTCTATTGAGTGATTTTGTATTTCAGTCACTCAATAACGTATCAATTTAGAATAAACCTAAAAAGTTTCACTGTTTGGTCAATTAGTATTCTGGTATATGTTTTTCCAATACTTTCTAAATAAATGCTTTATTGAAGCTCGGTAACCGTTTCAATCGGTATTTTTTTGACAGTTGTACATCTGTGTGCGCATTGAAGTATGATTGTGTCTATTTATATGTTTTTCCAATGTGTATTTGTATATAGTGCGATGAGAAGAATATGCATGGAAGTTGAACGAGTCTATCCTAGACATGTGCGGTAACGGTAAAGATGTGTTACCTTTACCGATGCTTCAGTAACAACTTCAAATTTTTACCGCAGTAATTTGAAACCGATAAAAAGTCTCAAAATTTTACTGCGGTAAACTTTTTACTGCGGTAAAAAAGTCCTTTACCGTTACCGCTCATGCCTAGTCTATTCCTTGTCTGTGGTCGATAGATGCGTGTCTTTGTTGACGTTTTTATATTCGAAGGATGCCTCATACTGCATAACATAATATATATATATATATCTACTATAGGCAATACTATACAGACATGTGCGCTGAACAATGCCGAAACAGTCCGTGTTTTATTCATCTATACAGCGTTTTTCACAGCATCAAACCAGGGTGTCCAAATCCAGTTTTTCGTAAAAAATCAGGAGTTGATCAGGAGATTTTTTTTCGAAATCAGGAAACAAGAGAGTATCAAGCAACTTTTTCTTGGACAAGCAAAACAAAAAAATTCAATAACTTTTTCAAAAACATAGTTTTTCTTGAAAAAATTTTTTTCATGAAACAGTATCATCATTTGTTATAGACTGTGATACGGATTGAGGCAGAAGATTTTGATCTGATGGGTTTAAAAGTTCACTAATCCTATCTTCTTGAGATGAGAACATTCGATAAGTACACAGGGGGCTCTTTCAATGTACAATTATTTAGTCTCTGGATCCAGAAATTCTGTTTCTTAAACTGATAATTCCAGTTTTGAAAAAAAACAAAATTGATGCAGGAAAACAATTGAAAATTAGGAGAAAATCAACTCCTGAAATTAGAAGTCTCCTGGTCAAGTCAAGAGATTTGGGCACTCCGAACAGAAGTTACTAAAACAGACGGGAGCGTTGTTCAGTATCATTTTTAAGTAGTGGCATATACTTGTGTCTAAAATTGTTTAAAGAATGCAGACACAACTGCATTTTATTCATTTCTCTCGAATTAATCTACTATCCAAAAGTAATTGAACAAATGTCAAGCATTATTTCCGCATGTTCTCGATAGGCTATAGAGTAGACTTTTTCCGGTTGGAAAGAGCAAAATCTAACCTTCAAAAAATATAGACCTGAAAGAAAACTTTTTGGAGAACCAAATAAGTGAGAATGTAGTCTGTGCAAAACTCTATCGGTCTTTTAGTAGAAAGCATCACTTTGCATGAGAAGTATGGTACATCGAGAAAATTTCTTCGTTCAAACCTCAAAAGATGTTAGTAAAGATTAAAACTAATGCGAGTTTGTAGAAGAATTGAATGCTGTTTCAGAAAATGTGTTTTAGAAAAAGAAAGAAACCCGTTCAGCACGCGAAAGTGACTGATTAAGCCTGATCAATTGTTTTTCTAAAACTAATAAAAAATTCGGTAGGTTTTGGTTGAAAAATGGATCAAAATATGGTTTATCATATTCCACTCGAAATAGACATAAAAACATTTTTAGTTTCGATAATTATATAATTTCAAACGTGAGAAAAAAAGCTTGATGAGAAAGAGACGTTTAAAGAGTATGGAAATTACAAGAGCTTTTTCGGCGATGTTTGAAATTTAAATGTTTTCGCGCACAAACTCAATCCCAAAAATGTGTTGTTTTTCTATGTTTTTTGAAGGTCAGATTTTGCTCTTTCCAACCGAAAAAAGTTTACTCCATATCAAATCGGGAACATGCGGAAATAATGCTTGACATCTGTTCAATTACTTTTGGATAGTAGGTTATTTCATCTTTGATTTAGAGACGTTCTTGATAAGAAAAAACTCTTTTCACCAAAATAAGAACGGATCAATGCCAAATAAGTCGATTTTTGACCTGCAATAGAAATGCCGTAATGACTAGACTAAGAATCCCCCATTTCTCTTGTTCACTCTAAATTCAGTTAGAAAAATCTCTGAAATTTACATACATACACAGACAAAGATATACTAAGATCTGCTTTGAAAAGTTTATCGTTGTTTTACCGTTTCATGAATAATATTTAATAATTTTTGTGCTACTTCTGTTTCCGGAACCTCTCCTTCATACACATCGCCAAATACAGCTATTCTCAACAAACTCAAAGCTTCATAATAATCATCTGGTATATCGACCATATATACTTCAAATGTAATTAAAAATAGCAGCAATGCTTGACGTAATATACCTTGACCAGTAGCTAATTCACATAATGGTTTACGACCATAAAATAAAAAATATGATGATGTTCCATTAACGAAATCCATAACTGTTAAACGTAAATATGACCCATTGTCTGGCTCAGATTTAATAATATTACCCTAAAAAAAAGTAAAACAGGTTTACGTTAATAATAAAAGATCAGAGTATGAGGACAATAGTAGAAAGCAGCTATGAATTATCCAAGACTATTCAAAGCTTGTTGCAAATGCTCATAGAATACAAAGAGACAAAAAAAGATTAGTAACTGTATGGCACATGTTTGCAATGAAAATAATAATATTTCAATATTAATTACCTGTTTATTTTGTATTATGTAATTACAGTTTAACGTTTGGCATAGTTGCATAAGTGTAAGACGATATGTGATATCCATGTTTTCACGCAATCGAATACTGAAATAATTTGTTAAAACATCGAGTACTTGACCAATAACTTTATTGAACGATGATATATGTCTTCCATGCAATAAACCATATTCACCCGTTAACTAAATAAAACAATTGATAATAGGCTCAGAAATCATATCAAAATAAACATACAAATTCTTTTCCAGCCATAAATGGTAATTCTTGTAATATTCCATATAAGTTTAAATCAGCGTTCAAACTAAGCCATTCACGACGTCGTGTATGTGTTTTAGACAAATATTGTTTGTATAATGTCGAAAATTGAGGCTGACCTTGTATTTGACGTAATTTAATATTGATACTTTCATAATAGGCATCATCTACAAAGCAAGAAAACTGTAACGGGTAAAATAATAATAAAAGGGCTCGTACCGTTTTGATGAATACGACCTTCGTTCTTATCCGAGTAGTCCCCATGCATACGTTTCAAAGAACGAATTTTTTGTCGCATATTACGCATTCTAATGGATAATTTTCGACACAGTAAGGCCTATTCAACGATATAAATGAATCCACACGTACGCAATAAAGCAGAATAAATGCAACGCTTACTTCTGGTTTGAACTGGTTTCCTTTTTCAGCAAGACATGGATATTTTTTAATTAATGCTAAACCAACCTTATGATACTCTCGGCCAGTTTTCAACTGTGGATATGTTTTCATAAAAAAATCAGCTGCTTCAGATATCAGATCGGGTAAGATTGGAGCAGCATTACCTTGACAAAAGAAAACAAAAAACGTACATCAATTAATTATAGAAGCAGTAACAAAAAGTTTTTTTATTTACCCATATCAAGATAACGTAGAACTTTTTCAGAGAATTCTGGCAATTGAGGAGGCATTGGAACTGCGGGATAACATCGTGTACGATTGTAAATTCGAGTACTGGACGAAAGATCGTCTTGCATTGAACCTGGACTATATAACGTCCCACGCTAAAAAAAGACAAATGTGAGAATATCTTCTGCTCTGCAGCTGATAGATCTGTTTTCTTAACTACGCTTTCCAAGTACAAAATGTCAGACTCGACGTCTTTTCCCGTGCAACACAATCCTTCGTGTAACATAATGCATATGTAAAATGTTATTATTAAATTTACATACTCTTTCTGATGCAAGAATCCGATCTTCATTATCATGTTGATTCTAAATTAGAATTATTGTTTGTATCAAGAAACTAATTAAGCAAGAATCGACCTACATCTTGAAATTCTTCTTTGATTGTATTAATATGATCGTTTGATGCTACACTGCTATTATCAGGTATTTCTGGTTCATTTTTCGTCTTCATTCGTGTCGATGTTAAAAATCCATGTGATGATGATGATGATGAATTTGCTCTGCTACTTCCAGATACTATTAACTTTGGATTATCAAAACGTGGCCTTTTAAAATATGAACCTTGATTACGGCTCGCAGCTGGAACTAAACCTCTTTCGCTTAAATCTTCATCTTCGCTGAGTGATGCTTCATCTATATCATCATTGTCTGTTGGTGGTACAATTGTCGACGACGATGCTTGTGATAATTGGCTTGATGATGTTGATTTTGATGAATAATGTTGTTTACGCATATGGGTTTTGAAACGACCAACAGATGTAAATATTTGAGCGCATAATGGACATGTTACTTCTACTTCTTCCTCACGATGTCGTATGTCCAGATGTTCGACATAAGCTTGTAAACTTCGGGGATAAATATTGCAAATGGAACAATGAAGAAGACGCTGAGTACTTAATTCATCACCATGAGATGACATCTTTTATCCCAAAGCGTAAAAAACAGTTTCAGTATAGAATCCTGACAAGGTTGATGCATACCCATAGCAGCTTCCAGGGTGACGTATGTATTGTTCTTATTTCAGCGCCCTCTTTACTCGGACAGTAGAATTACTCAAACGTCTTTCCGCTTTGAAAAACTGCTGCATATCCACACTAACGCGAATAATTACTATTCTGGATAGAAAATTGTCCTTGTTTTCCAATAACTAAGTTCGTTTGCTCTCCGGCACGTTGCTCTCTGGCACGTTTGTAAACGTTTGCTAAATAGTTTCATTTGTTAGTGAGTATAGTTGAAATTAGTGTAAGAGCATAAGCATAACTACTGGGAATTAAAACTCGACGCTTCTCAACAAACTTCCTCTCCTCTGATCTGTCATTGTTTATAAAACTAAAGCATCTACGCGTCTTCAGTGCATTTAAACGAAATGGTCAGACAGACATTTTTAGCTACGATATAGTTTAGATCTGACCTCCTGGGTATAGTAAAATTATGCATCAAGGACAATTATTATCAAATGCAAGTTTTGTTTTAAAAAAAATGGAAATGTGGGATGAAAACAAATTTCAGAAATCAGGTTAAACAAGAAAAGAAGTATCACAATAATGCATTTGCATTCTTTTCCTATTGGTCGCTAATTATTATCCATGTTAATCCATCTAAATAGAATGAATACCCCAAGACCAGCCTGCGACCGACTTTTCATGACATTTGCATCAAGACAATGCTCATGTCTTCGCTAGGCGACTCTATTCATATCTAAAATATGCTGTGAATATGTAAGGTTTGTAATCTAATGTAATGTAAAGATCTAAAAAGTTTTCTCCCGACGCTCCAAAGATCTCCCGAGGTCTAAAAATATGTCTGAGCTCAAGAAAATGCTTATCCCTCCCTGTGGTCGGCGTTCGCAGCCAAGATAGCTGAGAAATGTTGTGAACTTCTATTCTCTGATTCCACGGAAAAAGTGCCCAATAAAGCTAAAAAGTTTTGTTGATATCTTCTGAAGATCCCAATAGGACTGAAAATATTTCTGATCGATTCGCTATAATAGACTATCTGTATTTTGTACGTTTTATTATCCGCAGACGACATTCTGTGTTATCAAAACTGACTGATTTCCGGGGACATCTATCGCTGAACTAGAGAAAAGCTTTCTCAGCCTTTTCCTCTGTTTATCACCTCTTTGAATATTTTCTTTCTCGTGGTTAAAAAAAGATTTAAATTTTTTTCCCTTATGATTGGCTTATCCATAGAATATCTGATAGCCATTTTTCCATATTTTGCACGTAGACACACACACAGACATGCAACCAGGGCCCAGGGTAAAACTACTGACACTGCGCTGACCGTCTTTGTGAAACTATGGGCTTGACCAATCAAAAAGCGCTAGTACAGCGTCAGTGTCAGTAGTTTTAGCCTGGGCCGCAACCAGTTTGTAAGACCTTATGTCAAGAGAATAAGGCAAGGGAACAGACATGCTTAATTCACGGTATCCATCTCATTCTCCACACAGGTATAATAAAGCATAGAAACGAATCGTATTCATTAAAGCCTTTTACTTATAATAGGTAGTTATTAAGAACCAGTCAAAATTTATAAAAGAAAAAAAAATCCTCGTGATTTGAAGTATCCATCTCATACAAGTGGCATGTCTGTACGTACAGGCGATGTGCGCGAACAAAAATTGGTCTTGCGTGAGTGGATTGTTATTGGCTACGATAGGCTCAAGTGCAGTCCTAGCATATTGTGGTCTAGATTTTTCTTTTTGTTTGTTGATTCGCTTCGTTACTTGAAGTAATATCAAATTGGGCTAGATAGCGTAAGGGAGAACTATTTGAACTGCAATCTTTTCAGATGTTATATATGACTAGTTATAGACGAACGCTGGATGCCTGTAATCTGACGAACATGAGCCGATGAATAGTAAGAATATGAGTTGAATGAATGAATGATTTATTCACGAAAAGTGAGAGTCAACAAAAGGTCCTCGACCTATAATAACAATCACTCGAGCCAAACAACAACAAAAAGAATTCTATAAATAGAAAAATAAAAAGTAAACTAGCGTACGAAATAGAGAAACAGAAAGAATAAAAAAAAATAATAAGAGTAACAGCACTGAGTTTATTTTTAACTGTAAATATGGCTACGTTCTACTGTAAAGATGCTGACATAACGCTACTTTAAATGACAATAACGAAGTAGAACGAATGACTGATTCTGGAAGATTATTTCAGTCAGTGACAGTTGAATGAAAGAAGGAAGGGAAACTGTTTGGGGAGAAGTTATATTGATGATCATTCGCTATCATACAGGCAAAGGATTCTCAACTTAGAATTAAGAGAACTTAAATCATGTGAAGTACGCTTAGATCTTAACAAATCGATTATACGGCTGATTAGACTACAAGAGCAGGCTACTTTCTGATCGCAATCGCAATAAAGGAAAAAGACGTAAAGATTTTCGCTTTCTTTCTGCTATGCGGTTTTCATTACATACCAATTCTACAGTGGTTCCTAAACGCAGTTTCAACATCTAGATAGGTTGAGTCCGTGTATAAATGGTTTTTCTTCGGCATCAATACTTGAGAGATTAGTAAAGTTCGACGCCTTCAGAGATACTTATGCTGAAGCACTATACCAGTGCATGCTAACAGCTGTTAGAATTTGTGTACAGTTTATTGAATTTAAGTTTAACAGTTTCAGCTATATGCGATCTATGACCAAAATCAAAACTTAAAATACTTTCTATCATTTCAGCTTATGTTAAATTGCTTTTTTCTTAAGAAAAAGTTGTTGAATGATATAGATTATTATTTTCAATGTGACCATCTTGTATATAGTTAATCATTAAAATACTTATTCAAGCTATTTTCTCTCAAAAATGTTTAGCGGCAAGAAATTGTATCGTGTTTTTTTGCGTTAAAATTCAAATGTTGTCTAATTAGAAAAGAGGCTCCTCTGTTCAAAGCTTTTCTTCCGCAGATATCGACGTCTTGAATGACAGATGAAAATATGTACGCTTACAAACGATGAATATTTAAAAATGGACATAAGAAAAATGTTGATATACAATCCTATATTTGAAATATTGTTGAACTATATTTAATTAAACGAAACAGAAAAGAAAGTTATCTAGAACCTCTATCAAACTATAGCTGAAAATAAAACAACATGTAATAAAGTCGGTAGAACATTGAATTGAGAATATACGAAAGAAGATTAGAAATAGATGAACTGCAATCAACTAGTAGCGTTCAACGTATTGTTTAAAATTGCTCAATTAGTAAAATGATTTTTTTTGACATGAGAGAAAATTGTTCTTTTTGTTTCTGTTGCACGAATTTTTTTCATGAAAATAAAGTTGTATATGTGTTTGGCACCCGTCACGATATCTATTTTGTGTGATTAATGATTCGTTTTACATATTCTACATAAAACGAACAATTTAATTAAGAATGTTAGTCTGTCTGAGATATTTTCTTTCTAGGAAATAATTAATGTGTTCGCATTAATTATTTTGGAATATCTATTACTGAGTCCATAGACTAATGTTAAAAATCAATTAAATATTTTTCCATCTTAGAACATGGAAATATTTATTAGTTCAAATAGAAAAATATTTAATTGATTTTTCATATTAGTCGTTTAATATTTTTCTTTTTAACATTTTTTGGCACACTAGAAAATTGTCATTTACTTTAACGCTTCCAAACTCACTTCATTGTGTCTAATAAATTTGTTGTCTTTTTATAGACAACCACTTTGGGATCGACGATGGCCGTAAATGGTCGTAAATCATTACAACCATTAAAATCCGCTATTAATCGACGAAAACAGATCGATAATGTTGTACATGAAGACGAAGAAGATAATTATTTAAATATTGACAAAAAACAACCGCCTAAGAGTTATTTAGTCAAACTTATTAAAGGATCACGTTCGAATGGCATTTTAAATTTAGCATCTAGAAGTTTAACAGATGGTTTGTATTTTTCTTTTCTGTCCTAACTATATATTAATAACAGTCTCTTATTTGCGGTTCTAGTTCCAGAAGAAATATTTCTTGATGAAATTGCAGATGATGAAAATAGAAATCAGCATAGTCATACACCAGATTTTTCAAAACAAGATAATGATAGAGAAGCCTGGTGGAATAGAATGCCATTAAAATCTCTTGATCTTTCGTCTAATTTATTAAAAACATTACCAGATTCAATTGGTGATTTATCCTATTTAGTCGTATTGAATGTAAATACTTATTTTCACATTTTATTAGATTATTTTTATCTTTTATTTGTATTATAGCTGCAAAACAATCAACTGGAAAAAATTCCAGATACAATACGAACATTGCTTGAATTAGAAAAACTCATATTGAGGTATATCTTAACACGCACATTCCTGTGCAAATAACTATAAAGTTGTTAAAATCTTTTGTAGTCAAAACAATTTATCTGTGTTACCTGATGGTTTATTTTATATATCCTCGTTACTTACATTAAATCTTTCTGGAAATCATTTACAAAAATTATCAAATAAAATCGGTGATCTTTCATATCTCCAAGAACTTGTAAGAGATGAAAATAATTCTTCTCTCGTCTAATATTTGATATTTTCTACTTTTATTACTTAAGGATTTATCTCAAAATGAATTTGAATCATTTCCAAAACAAATTGGTTATTTAACAAAGTTAACAAAATTAAATGTATCAAAAAATCGTTTAAATTCTATACCAAATGAAATTGGTGCATTATATAGTATGTTAAGATTTTCAAGATCTATTCAATTTCTTTTTGTTAAATTTTTTTTTTTTTTTTTCAAAGATCTTCGATCATTTGAGATAAATCACAATCAAATAACACAATTGCCAATTAGTTTTGGAGATTTAATTAATTTAGAAGAATTTTATTGCAATTCAAATCGTTTATCACAATTTCCATGTTTTGCTCAATGTGCAAAATTAAAAGTAAATTGTTACTAAGTTAACTATTATTAACTTTGATGTATTATATATTCTTTCTATATAAAAAGGAAATACATTTGGCTGATAATCAATTAACACAAATTGATAATGTACAATTGGAACCATTATTATCATTGATAAGTTTGAATATACGAGGAAATAAAATAAGTATCTTACCAGAACAAATATGTTTACTACCGAATTTAGAAAGATTAGATGTAACAAATAATAATTTGGCCGAGTAAATGATCTGATTTGTGATTATATTTATTGTTATCATCATTGTTTATACTCATTTTTTCTTTTAGTTTACCATCACAAATAGCATTAAATAAAAAAATGAAATGTATCAGTATTATTGGAAATCCATTAAATAAAATTAGAAAAGATATTATGCGTTTGGGCACAGATGCTATTATGAAATATCTTCGAAATCGTATAGCAGATGATGATGATAATAATGAGAGAAATAAAGTTGCATCGAATAATGAAACAGAAGAAGAGAAAAAACGTCGTTTATATACTGAACAGCATGTGGTTAGATCAACAGGAACATTTGATTTCAGGTACAAAAATGAACAAATAGTAGTACAATATTCGTCTAGTTATACACTATCACAACTTTATTATTTGAATTTTTAATATATTTACCTTGTTTTTTGTTTTTTTTTATTTTGTTTAGTTATAAAAATGCATCATGTTTACAAGATGAATCAATTCAATTGATAAACAAAGAAAAACCATCACATATAAACTTAAGCAAAAATAAATTTTCTCAAATGCCTGTTGAGTGAGTAACACTTTATTGTTACAGTAATAATATTCTCTTTCAGAAGTATTATTAATTCAGTTTAGTGAATATATTCTAAGAATTTATCTGATTATTATCTTTTTAGTTTTTTTGGAGTAATTAGGGTAAGATATTAAAAAAAATAATTAATATCAGTCGTGGAGTACATCTCGCTCGATTAGTATACTATTACTATGCACGTTAATCTCTCTCCTAATATTTGAAAATTACAATTAATAATTGGAAAATGATGCTTCAGAACTTATTAGAATTAGAATTCTTATCTACCGTCTAGAAAGATGATTAATTCGAGAAAGAAAACTCCATTTTTACAGTTAGAAAAAGAAAATCTTCTCATTTATATTAATTTTATTTTTTATTATCATTTGGTGAAGGGCAAGTCCGGCTCTGATGCACATTCAAAATTGACTTATATTTACACACACATAGATCTATTATTTTCTTTTCTTTTTATTATTTTTTGTTTTAATTTCGCAAATACTAACTGAAATAATGAAGTTAACACAATTGTTTCTTATTTAGATTAATTCAATTGAATGATTGTTTATTGCATTTGGATCTTTCAAATAACATTATTCAAAATTTGAATCCTGAGGTTGGTCGGTTGAAAGAATTACGTTATTTAGATTTAAGGTAATTTATAAGAAAACGTTTTTTTTTTTCAAATCTATAATATTGGGTGCATCATAAAGAATAAGTCTCTCAGTATTTTCTATTTTTCTCGTATTCCTTTAGGATCCTAAGATTAGTGCTTTTTTTTTTACAAGATGCGCCTCGAAATATTCTACAAAACTATACTAAACTTTAATTTCATAACTTCAATCAAGAAAACTACGTACATTATACGAAAGGCGAAAACTTTGTAAATTTGGTATTTTTTTTCGACTTGAATTTTTTTTCTTCTGCTATTCTTTCCGTTAAAAAGTGTAGCAAAAGTGAGAACGCAGTTCTTTTTGAATTTTTGAATGTGGTCTTTCTTGTAGTCTGTAAAAAGAGTTTTTAGCACAGATGGTGTGCTGAAGAACGAAGTTTCAAAAATATATTAAAAATAGTCAGCTCCCAGTTTTCAACAATGTGCTCAAGCAAGAAGCGGAAAACATGATCGAAATTTTGATTTTGCAGTTGGGCAGAGAAGAGTCATCATTTCTGATCAAAGCAAAACAAACCGGATAGAAAAATCTTTTGTTTTAGTGGAGTTATGGGACCCCTACTGAAGGCACCATTATATTCAGAATTTAGAAAATTAATGAAAAAGTATGTGACAATCGACAGAAAAATGATTATTTCTCCATGGGTTTTGATGTGAAAAAATGTGAAGTGTAGCTAAGAGATAGAGCGAAGTCAACGCCACAAAATATGGCTGATTCAAGTTTTCTTTCTTTCAAAAAGTTAACACGGGCTAATCCTAGGATCCTAAAGGAACACGAGAAAAATAGAAAATAGAGGCAAGCTCATTCATTATGACGCATCCGATACATACTCACCAAACAAGTGTTTTCATGACATTTCTGTTCTCGAGACAAATATTCCTGGATGACAAGCACCCTCACAAGTGACTTTTACTCGCTGAAGACAGACGTATGAGCTCATTTTTATACGAAACAGAATGTTTAACCACTCACTCATAGGGTCCTGCTGGTCTCACTTCTTCACATCACTCGTCCGAATACTGATTCTCATTGATCTTTCAATTAGCCCCCCCCCCCATAATAGAAGCCCCCCGGGGGCTTGTATTTGGTCTTCAGAGCTTTGGTCGTGTTCCGCTGGGGAAAACAGAAAATTCTGCTGGAGAGACCTCTGAAAGGGGGGCTTCTAATATGCGAGGGCTTCTATTATGGGGGGGGGGGGGTTTTTGTGGGGGGTGACTATTTTTAATTTATT